TTCTTAATTATAATGGAAGCCCTGTCCGCGAACATCCGCAAAAACAAGGACATCTCAAAAATCTGAATAACCCACATCCCAGAAGAGGCAGTCCCAGTATGTTCCTTGTTTGCAGATCATCTTACAATAATGGTAGAGGCGACGACCAGGAATCCAGAATATGATGGAACGGTTCATTCATGTGTCAGACATGATGGTCAATTGGGGGAGTAAGACACAAGGTTGGTGGATCCACTCTCAAGGTGGAAGCCCCCCTGAGACCCCCCGCATTTCATTGCAACCCCTGGAGGCTCCGATTAGAATCATGGGAATATCTATGACAGCAGGAGGCTGCCGCCAACTAACGACGAATGGATCAGGGCCCCGACTCTAACCAAGTTGGCCAACTGGGGGAAAAAGGCAACCTCCCTCATGGGCAGGGCGCTGGTGATAAATAACGTGATATTCGCCTCACTATGGTATAAATCCCTGGTCTGGCCCTTAAGTAAAGAAGTTGTACGAATATTAAAGGCTAAAGTAGCGGCCTTCCTATGGCGAGGGGATGGCCACCTGCAAAATGTCATTAGTAGGGTGGCCTAGAATCGGTCATCCAACCAAAAAGAGCAGGAGGTCTTGGAATAATAGACCCAACAGCACAAGCACAGACTCTCCGACTACAATGAATCAAGAAACTGATATTTGCCACAGACTGTCCCTGGCAACCTCTGGCATTAGAACACGTGGCACGACTAGCTCCCATGGCCCCCCCAGTTGTACACCCCCTCACATGGATAGAAGACCGCTACTGGACAATCCCACAGAAATAACTAGACAGAGGGGAGAGCACCGACGAGGCTATGGACCAATTTTGGCCCTCACTATTGAAAAGTTGGCGGCAACCCCCTACCAGAACGGCGACATCCAGATCGGGGGGAGGAGGTGCTCCGACAACCCCTATTCGGAAACCGTTGGATCACATATCGTCAGGGCCAAGTGATGATTAGCTCAGCGCCACCATGGAAGGGTTGGGTGAAACGTGGTTTGAACAGAATAGGGGATATATGGAATGCATAACGCAAGGATTGGAAGACAGCAGAGGATCTTCATCCCGTACTGAAATATTGTCACCATGTTCCACAACATTTGGAAGAACTCATAGAACATGTACCGCTCTCATGGTACAGACAGTTAAGAAAGGGCCCTACGCTAAAGGAAGGAGATTGGGTAGGAATTAGGGGGGACCCTGAATACTTAGGGAGGGTCCTCCTGCCAAGATCCCAAGATGTTTTGGTGGAAACATACACACTCATTAAATCTCAATCATTACAAGGCAGTCGGGCCCCCTGTAGATGGATGAAAATGAAAGAAGTATTCCGGGTAAGAGTCTTGGGAGAGGGTGAGAAGGTCCATGCCTTTCTGCCAGCAATCGGGATACAAGAGTTAACACTCGACCCCGAGGAATGGAAATGGAAACCCGGGGGAAGGATAACAAGCCCCACCAAGGAGATTAGTCTCTATAAGTTAACTGTCAAAACTACCTATAAAATGTTCAGACCTAAGAGACCCATGCGAGATACGATAAACGATAGGTGGGCGAAGCACCTCAATATAGATCGATCTCTCCTCACATTAATCCCCCGGTTTCAAGAAGGAAAAGTAAAGTCGGCAAAAGTCACCTCGCTACAGTGGCAAATCGCCCACCGCTGCCTCCCGACCATGAATTGGCTAATCGATCACACAAACCTGGAGCAAAAAGGACAGGCACTACCCTATTGCCCACGATGCCTGCAGACATTCCCTTCAAGGAAAAGAGCAGAAACTATCGAACATGTGTTCATGAAATGCCCCACGGCACAGTTAACATGGTGATGGTGGGACAGGATATAGAGAAAAATGATCCCAGACCCACCATGGTCGTGGTCATGGTGGGCTATCCTCACAGGGTATTGGCCATAGATCCAGGACGCACCCGACTTTGTAGGAAACATGTTTAGACTGGGCAGGAGATCAGTTTTATAGGGACTTTGGTGGCAAAGGTGCGTCCTAGTGATGGAAGAGGTGCGATTAGAAGGGCCGGAGGTAACCGAACAAATCCAACAGCAACTAAATATGGAAATTCTGAGAAGATGGCAGATGCAGAAATCTCAATTGGACCTCCTACGAACAAACAGAGACATCCAAAACGCAATTTCCTCCTTCTGCAAAGATTGGTTAGGAGGAGAGAAAGGACGATGGATAGCAAAAGTAGATTGGGGAGGGGAGGATGGGCAGCCAGGAGAACTAGCAGAATGCAGGGACTACCACCTGGTCCTGAATGATTGGACAATTATAGCATCCGCCTTCCCGATGCGCCCCCCGTCCGATTTCCCGGACCCCTTCCCCCCACACCCGCTTTCCTTAGCAGAGACCATAACAGACTAACAACTTTTTTTTCCTTTTATTTTCTCGCTCTTTCCCCTTTTTTTCCTTTTCTTCCCTCTACTCCCCTTTTTCTTTTTCCTTTTTCTCTTTTCCTTTTTTTTAATTTTTTTTATATTTTTTTTTCCCCTTTTCGTCTTTTTTTTTTTTTTTTTCCCTCTCTTCTTTCTTTTCTCCCTTCTCCTTCCCTTTGTTCTCCTTGTCCTCAGTGAGTAGCAAGGCGAGGTTGCCTGGAGGACGCTAGAACTGTCTTCTCAGCACAGGAATCACTGCAGCTATCTCACAACTCATCCCTTTCTTACCACAATGTAAGGGACGCTGGACCCGGTTTCCAGCAGGTGCTGCTCCCCACCAATAGATAGAGCCGTCCTGGGGGTGTTAGCGGTGTCTGCTCATACCAGCACCTCTAGCACCGCCTCGGTTTTTTGAAAAAAAAAAAAAAAAAAAAAAACTTGTACTGTTTCTGGGGACGACTGCGACCTCCGATCCTGAACACGTCTTCTTCCACTATGTGATCTATGTCATATGCACCATCCAAGTCCGGCGGAACCATTGACTTACGGGAAGGAAATTTATCGGACGTGGTGCAAGAGAGCAACTTGGACACATGGAAGAATGGGTACGTGTGGAGGTGTGCTGGGATTTCTATCGTATAAGACGTGTCGTCCTCTCCTCCTTTGACTTATAAGGCAGACCATGGTCCTATATACGCAGGTAAGAGCTTCTGCGAGATGTTTTCTCTGGTGCGAACTCCTGTGACTTGACCCAGACTAGATCGCCTACCTGGAACGGTGAAGGTCGGTGGTGCTTGTTAGCTTGCTCTATCATCCGATCTGGGCCTTTTTCCAGATTGTCTATGAGCTTAGCGACTTCATGCTTGTGCTGGAATGCAAACTCTGTGTGTCGGGTGATGGTCTCTGTATCTGATCCCTGTTTAGTCCCTCAAACGGTCGCCTAGGTCTAAAGGACTTATGTAGCTCATTAGGAGTCCTACAAGTAGCTAAATGAACGTTGTTATTATAGGCACTTGCCACTTCGGGAAGCATCTCATCCCAATTTACCTTATCTGGTCTAATATACATTATGAGTAGTTGCTGCAGGATCTTCTTCATATGCTCTGTCTGGTCGTTAGTCTTGGGGTGTTGTCCTGACGACTTAAACAACTTAGATCCATAGACCTTCATAAGATCCTACCAGTTCTAACCACAGTTGTCACGCGGGGATCCCGGGGGCCCAAGCCGGGGTAGGGGTTTCACCCCCGGACCCCCGCCGCGGGGCTACCCGACCCCCGCCCCCGCCAAAACACCCCCGCACCTGCC